TGTCCACTATTCCCCATTCCCTTTCGTATCCTTCTCCACCCTTCCCCGTTCCCCTTTGTATCCATGTTCACTATTCCCATTCTCTTCAGTATCCTTGTCCACTATTCCCCATTCCCATCTGTATCCCTGTCCATTATTCCCAATTCCCTTTGTATCCATATCCATTATTCCTCATTCACCAGTGTACCCCATCCACTATTCCCTATTCGACACTATCCGCGTCCACTATTAAGATAGAAACACAGAAGGTAGGAGCAGGAGTAGGCTATTAGACCCCCTCGAGCCTGCTCCACTATTCAGTATGGTCATGGCTGATCATTGAGCTCAATAAATTAATCCCACCATCCCCAATATCCCTTGATCACTTTTATATACAAAAGCTATATCAACCTCCTTCTTGAAAACACATAATGCTTTGCCTCACTTCCTGTGACAGAGAATTCCACAGGCTCACCACTCTCTGGGTGAAGAAATTTCTCCTCATTTCAGTCTTAAAAAGTTTACCCCTTATCCTTGAACTATGACCCCTGGTACCAAACTCCCCCCACCATCGGGAACATCCTTCCTGCATCTAACCTGTTAGTCCTGTTAGAATGTTAAAAGTTTCTATGAGATCTCCCTTCATTATAGATGCATAGAGATGTGCAGCATGAAAACAGACCCTTCGGTCCAACTCGTCCATGCCAACCAGATATCCTAAATAGATCTAGACTCATTTCCCAGCATGTGGCCTGTATCCTATTCATATACCCATCCAGATGCCTTTTAAATGCTGTAATTGTACCAGCCTCCACCACTTCCTCTGGCAGCTCATTCCATACATGCACCACCCTCTGCGTGAAAAAGTTGCCCCTTAGGTCCCTTTTAAATCTTTCCCCTCTCACCTTAAACCATTGTGCTCTGTTTTTGGACTCCCCCACCCCAGGGAAAAGACCTTGTCTATTTACCCTATCCATGCCCCTCATGATTTTATAAACCTCGATAAGGTCACCCCTCAACCTCCAACACGACAGGGAAAATAGCCCCAGTCTATTCAGCCTCTCCCAAAGCTTAAATCCTCCAACCCTTTTCCGAACCTTTTCAAGTTTCACAACGTCCTTTCCTGTAGCAGGGAGACTAGAATTGCATGGAGTATTCCAAAAGTGGCCTAAACAATGTGCTGTACAGCCACAACTTAACCTTCTAACTCCTATACTCGATGCACTGACCAATGAAGGCAAGCATACCAAATGCCTTCTTCACTAGCCTATCTACCTGCAACTGCACTTTCAAGGAACTATGAACCTGCTCTCCAAGGTCTCTTTGTTCCACAATACCCCCCAGGACCTTACTATTAAGTGTGTAAGTCCTGCCCTGATTTGCCTTCCCAAAATGCAGCATTTATCTAAATTAAACTCCATCTGCCACTCGTCTGCTCATTGGCCCATCTGATCAAGATTCCACTACACTCTGAGGTAACCTTCTTCGCTGTCCACTACACCTCCAATTTTGGTTTCCCTGCAAACTTACCAACCATATCTCCTATGTTCACATCCAAATCATTCATATAATTCTTCCCAATTCCAGTGGATACAACCCTAACTGACTCAATCCCTCTTCATATGTCAGTCCTGCCATCCCCAGAATCAGCCTGGTAAACCTTCGCTGCACTCCCTCGAGAGCAAGAGCATCCTTCCTCAAAAAAGGAGATCAATACCGCACACAATATTCCAGGTGTGGTCTGACCGAAGCCCTGTATAATTGCAGCAAGACATCCCTGCTCCTGTACTCAAATCCTCTCGCAATGAAGGCTATCACACAGTTTACCTCCTTTATTGCATGCCGCACCTGTATGCTTACTTTCAGGAACTGGTGCATGGTCTCATTAAACATGCCCCTCTCTCAATTTATAGTCATTCAGATAATAATCTGTCTTCCTACTTTTGTTACCAAAGTGGATAACCTCATATTTGCATTATTCTCCATTCCCCACAGTATCCCTGTTCACTATTCATCATTCCCCATCCCTCTCAGATCATAAGAACGTAAGAACTAGGAGCAGGAGTAGGCCATCTGGCCCCTCGAGCCTGCCCCACCATTTAATAAGATCATGGCTGATCTTTGAGACTCAGCTCCACTTACCCACCCACTCACCATAACCCTTAATTCCTTTACTGTTCAAAAATTTATCTAGCCTTGCCTTAAAAACATTCAGCGAGGTAGCTTCAATCGCTTCACTGGGCAGGGAATTCCACAGATTCACAACGCTTCAGGTGAAGGAGTTCCTATCGGAGGAAAATTAGGCCACTCAGTCCTGCCCACAATTCCCTATTCCCTACTGTACCTCTTGCCACTGCTCCCTATTCCTAGCTCTATCCCTGTCCACTATTCTGTATTTCCTATTGTATCCCTGTTTCCTATTCCCCATTCCCCTTGCTGTCCCTGTCCACTATTCCTCATTCTTCACTGTAACTCTGTTCCCTATTCCCCATTCCCTCCTGCATATCTATTCCCTATTCCCCATTCCACTTTCTGTCCCTGTCCCCTATTCCCCAATCCCCATTGTATCCCTGTTTCCTTCTGTACCCCTGTTCACTATTCCCCATTCCCCACTTTTCCTGTGTTCACTATTCCCCATTCCTGCTCTATTCCTGTCCTCTTTTGCTTGTACCCAGCTCTATCATGTCCACAATTCCCCATTCCTTGGTGGGTCACTAGTTTTTCACTGCGATATCCATGTCTGCTATTCCCCATTCCCAGCTCTATCCGTATCCACTATTGCCCATTCCTGGAAATTTAACTTGTCATGAACAATCTCCTACAGGAACCTGGATTAAAACTGTAAATATACCATAACAAGAAAAAAGAACAAGGAATGGTACAGCAACAGGAACAGGCCCTTTGGCCCATCAAGCTTGTGCTGACACATGACACCTTTCTAAGATAAAAACCTTTTGCCTGCCTATTCATGTATCTATGTAAATGCTTCTTAAACATTGCTGTCGCACCTGGTTCTACCACCTCCTCTGGCAGCACATTACGACCCTCTGCATAAAAAGCTGACTCTCACATCTCCTTTAAAATTACCCCACTTTTATCTTAAACTAATGCCCCAGTAACCGACATTTCTACCCTGGGAAAAGGACTCCAACTGTCCACTCTATCCATGCCTCTCATAATGTTGTAAGTGAGATCTACCAAGATTAATCCCTTTGACAAGTGGCCAAGGACAGAAGACTTGCATCAACTGAGTCAATCATTACTCTTGTGAAGAAGAGCGCCGAGATTCCTGACTGAATGACCTCCTCCTGCTCTGGAACAGTTTTACCCTGCAATATTCCCTGGAGATTAGAAGAATGGATGGTGATCTCATCGAAACTCACAAAATGATTTGAGGACTTACAGGATAATTACTGAGAGGCTGTATTGCTTGGCTGGAGATCCGAGATCACAGGCTCACAGTCACCATTGAAAGGGGCCGAGCATTAATGACTAAGAGGCATTTATTTCACTCAATGCATATGCAGATTTCGCCAGGCCAAGCAGCACATTGAGTATTCATAGAGTCATCGAGTTATACAGCACAGAAAGAGACCCTTCCGTCCAATCAATCCATGCTGACCATGTTCCCAAACTCAACTAGTCCCATCTACCCGCACTTGGCCCATATCCCGCCAAACATTTCTCATTCATGAACTTTTTCAAATGTCTTTTTAACATTGTAATTGTACCTGCATCAACCACCTCCTCTGGAAGTTCATTCTGCACACGAATCACTCTGTGTAAAAAAACCTTTCTCCTCTCACCTCGATATCCCCCACTCTCGGGAAAAGACACCTGCCATTCACCTTATCTATACACTGCATGATTAGGTAGATCTCTATAAGGTTACCCCCTCAACCTCCTACGCTCCTGTGAAAAGCCCCAGCCTATCCAGCATCTCCTTATAACTCAAACCCTCCATTCTCGACAACATCCTGGTAAATCTCTACTGAACACTCTCCAGCTTATAACATCCTTCCTATAGCGGGGCAACCAGAACTGGACACAGTACTCCAGAAGAGGCCTCACCGATGTCCTGTACGAAGTCAACAAGGAACCCAAAGAAGGTGTCATCGACAGTGCTATCAAGCAGCATCCGCTCGGCAATGACCTGCTCAGTAACGCCCAGTTTGGGTTCCACCAGGGCCCTGTCAAAGTAGCATGTGAGAGTCAGTAGTCAGCAATCCCATGATCAGTGCCCTGGGTGGTGTCGCGCTAGTTAGACAGAAGGATAGATGCGTCATAGTCACAGGTCATCCACTACGGAAGAGGCCCTTCAGCCCATTAAGACTGTGCCTTCTACCTACATTAATACCACTTGTGGGGCTTCAGCTGAAGCACTGCAGAGTCGAGAGGCACTGCAGAGGTGGGAGCGGGCAGTTTGAGGAGGCTATGGGGTTGGAAAGCCCTTCCAGGGTCAAATAATGAAGTCTGTGGTCAGCCTTAGACATTGGGAGTGAGGTGGTGGCTGTAGTGACCAAACTGTTTCATGACGGGGAGCAAAGCCTACGGACCCAGCCTTCTTGATATTTGAACGGAAACTTTCGGGAAAGAAAGAGGCGGGGGAGAGGCTTAAATGGATCGTGAGCAGAGAGGCAATGAGTTTAAAACCAGAGGATCCTAATAGCAAATGTGTGTACCAGAGAAACACTCCCTCATTCCTCAAGAAAAAAACAGCTGAGCAGCCATGGTTCTGTGATGTTTAGTGGTTATGTTTGGCATCATTTTCACTGCTTGGTCCTTTTTAAGTGGAGGTGTGAGAGACAGGGTTTCTATATATGGAAACAAAATTTCAGAGCAAAATCTTCAGTCCCTCCTCCACTTCCTGCATCCCTAGGTTATGCAGGGAGAGCCCAGCTTTCCCTTCTCCAGGTCAGGGGAGAGGGGACATTACAGCTAGCCAGCAGAAAGGGGTATGGCCTCCGCAACAGTCTGGAATTCTGGGTTAACGGAGAAATCCCAGGAAGATTGGGAGCCTTGAGATAACAGACTTCGCACAGGAGAGACCGAGTCTTACAACGTCTTAAACAAACTGTGGAAGTCGGAAAAACTGGATGGACTCACCTTACCTCGTTAAGATTAGGCCAGAATACAAGATTTGACTGAATTATGCATAAACCCATCCCACACAGGAGTTAGAATTAAGATTCAGAAACTCTGAACGGTTTACTCTTTGAAAGAAAACTCTTTAAAAGCAATTCGACACAACTTTTCAGGGAGGAAATGCCAGAAGAGTGAGACGCATGGGATAGGCTGTATCAATGGGCTGAATGGCCTGCTTCCTAATGAACTGCATTATCCTCCAGTCATACTGGCAGATTTTGCAGAGTAAAATTTTACTTGCCCCTTTTTTGATGCAGGGATGTCAAAATAAAATAAACATTCCCATACCCTACGCTCACTCCGGCTCCTGGAGCTATGGTCCTGCTTCCTGGGTTGGCACGCTGACACTTTCTGTCCTTACCTTTGAAACTCAGAGTCACGACTGGGTCACTGTGTCTGTCTTTCTTTTCCACATTGGGAAGATTCCTGGCTGACTGCAGAAGGCATCGCAGCATGCTCTAACTTGATTGGGATGCGTTCCGTGATCAAAATGAGGTCCAAACTCAGCTTTGACAAAAAATGAAAAAAATCCAAAACACACACACACAACACACACACACACACACACACACACACACACACACACACACTCTTGTAGTCTGACCACCAAGAGCAGGAATAAAGATTACAGCTTCTCATACAAAACCCTGACAGCGGAATGAACTGCCGTTAATTGTCCCCTTTTCCCAAATGAAAATCTTGGCTCCTCCCAGACTGGGAAAAGAAAGAAAATGATTAACCCTTGAGCTTCCCCATTTTTGTTTCACTTCTCACTTGCCTTGGGTTCCTCTTTCTGAGTGTATCCAGCAAGCATCTTAGGAACAGTAAACGTTCGCTTTATCGGATGTCTTCACCCCACTCACTGACTTCAATTCGGCCACCCCTTTCTTGGCCTGACATCTTTTAGTTCTGAAACTTCCACCCTCAAAGGAAAAAATGAGGTGGGACTGATTGTATTTATTTGCATTTGCCAGTCTTTACAATGCAACTACAGAGGACCAGTACTTCATATCAGAGGTAACTTTGGGAGTATTGTATTGAGGCAGTCAGTGGTTGGGAGCTACTGGCATGAGTCTTAGCCTTCTTCCTACAGTCCCCAAAGCTGAGACCGCACTGACCCTGGTTGGTAACCATAGACCAGGCTGGCAGGATCTGGCCCTGTGGCCTCCTCTGCTGGTCCTGAGGTCAGTGGAACGCTCCCACTGCAGTTCCGTATAGCAGGAAGCGGGCACCTATTCCCTCTCAATGTCCGCTACGTCTGGGGGCAAGTGTCAGGAACTGGAGAGGTCCAGGTGTGGGAATGCTGTGGGGTATTCCTGCAGCAGTGAGGTCTTCTGGCTACAGAGAGAAAGGATGTATTGGCACTGGAGGGGGTGCAAAGGAGGTTCACTAGATTGATTCCGGAGTTGAGGGGGTTGGCTTATGAGGAGAGACTGTGTAGATTGGGATTATACTCATTGGAATTCAGAAGATTGAGGGGGGATCTTATAGAAACATATAAAATTATGAAGGGAATAGATAAGATAGAAGTAGAGAGGATGTTTCCACTGGCAGGTAAAGCTAGGACAAGAGGGCATAGCCTCAAGATTAGAAGGAGCAGATTTAGGACTGAATTGAGAAGGAATTTCTTCACCCAGAGGGTTGTTAATCTATGGAATTCCTTGTCCAGTGAAGTAGTTGACGCTACTTCAGTAAACGTTTTTTTTAAAAAGTAGATTTTTTTTGAACAATAAAGGAATTAAGGGATACAGTGAGAACGCGGGTAAGTGGATCTGAGTCCACGAAAGGATCAGCCATGATCTTATTGAATGGCGGAGCAGGCTCGAAGGGCCAGACGGCCTACTCCTGCTCCTAGTTCTTATGTTCTTATCAGAGTCGTCAACCCGGGACGAGACATTCCAGGCCAGGTCATCCCCTCGTTTCCCTCCTCCTTTGGAAGTTTTACTGTTTTGGTTTCAAAGAGCTTTCTGCCAAAGAATAAATCACTTTGATCTTTCTCAATCTGAATTCTAACTCGTCTGTGGGATGGACTTTGTGATAATTCAGTTAAACCTTACATTCTGGATTAATTTAACGAGTTAAGGTGACTCTATCCAGTTTTTTCCGACTTCCACAGTTTGTTTAAGACATTGTCACACCTGGTCTCTCCTGTACAAAGTCTGTTATCTCAAGGCTGCCAATCTTCCTGGGATTTCTCAGTTAATCCAGTGATTTTGGACTGTACTGGGGCCGTACCCCTTTCAGGTGGATGCCATTGAAATCAGTTTCTGCTGCAAACACAGCTCTCTGCTCCTCCATCTGAGTCACTGAGAGACATGATGAAATAATAAGACTTCAGTATCCGTTTCCAGAGACTCTCTAATATTTCACACCAATTTAGTCATTCACAGGATGTGGGCGTTGCTGGGCGAAGCAACATTTCTTGCCCATCCCTAGTTGCCTTCTTGAACCACTGCAGCCCACCTGCTTTGGGTTGATCCACAATCCCATTGGGGAGGGAATTCCAGGATTTTGACCCAGTGACAGTGAAGGAACAGCGATATATTTCCAAGTCAGGATGGTGAGTGGCTTGGAGGGGAACTTGCAGATGGTGGTGTTCCCATGTATCTGCTGGCCTTGTCCTTCTAGATGGAAATGATCATGAATATAGAAGGTGGTGTCTAAGGAGTTTAGTGAATTGCTTAAAATATTGCTCTATGCCCTTGATAGCAATCTGGAGGACATTCGACCACAAGAGATCTCACATGCCGTTCAATCCTCTCCTCATCTAACATGGGCATACAGATGTTCCAGCAGCAAAGCAATAAATTTTTATTTGTTCATGGGATATGGGCATCCCAGGCCAGTCAAACGTGTACTGCCCATCCCTAATTGGCCGGATGGCAGTTAAGAGTCAACCACATTGCTGTGGGTCTGGAGTCACATGTAGGCCAGACCAGGTAAGGATGGCAGTTTCCTTCCCTAAAGGACATTAGTGAACCAGATGGGTTTTTCCTGACAATTGACAATGGAGCCACAGTCGTCATTAGACTCTTAATTCCAGAATTTTTTTTCAAACTGAACTCAAATTCCACCTTCTGCAGGATTCGAAACTGCGTCCCCAGAACATTAACAAC